CTTTATCATTTCTGTGGGTCTTCTCTCTCTATTGGTAAGTGTGGCTAAGGACTTATCAATCTTATCTATCCTTCCAAAGAAACACCTTTTTGATTCATTGATCTTTTGTACTGTTAGTGTCAATTTCACTGATCTGTTCTGACTTCATAATCTCTTTCCTTCTACTAGTTTTGAGTTTGGATTATTCTTGTTTTTCCTTGGACACTGAGATGCAGCATAAGGTTATTTGGAATCGCCATTTTTCTAATATAGGCACTCAAAGACAAGAACTTCCCTCTCAGAGCTGCTTTACTTGTGTCCCACAAACTAAAATTTCCATATATTTCATGTTTCCAAATTATGTAAGTCTGTCAATTCAGAATTGGAATCTGAGTTGGATATAACCATTGTTTGCCATCACTCTGGAGGTTTTTTTTAATGAAAAAGATTTTTTTAAGTTTACTGGTACAATTTAGCTATACATAATGATCACATTCATTATAGAGAAATTGTACCTATACATGATATACCTTGATTCATTAATTTTCACCTTGAAATCTTAGAAAGCAAGGTCCTGAGTTCTGGGCAGTAACAATTTCAGGTGAAACCTGGAATGAGTATTTGGGCATGTATCAGTAGCACTCCTGACTGCCAGCAGTAATTACCTCAGGAAAGAGACCATCCCTAACTGGCTAGAGATATTAGGTATAAGGCAGAAGATTAGCTACCTTTTCCCCAGTGCACTTATAGCCGGCAGTCTTTCCTGTTAGATCCTTCTCTTGAACAGGTTTACAGTTGGATTGATAATACCCTTTTCTGATGAGAGTGACTCTTGACTTTCTTCCCTTTAGGACAACTGGTACTCACACTTCCTTGGAAAGTATCCATCAAAATTTGTGGGTGCTTTCTCACAGGCCATTAGATTAGAATGGCATCCATTCTTTGAACACATATTATTATTGGTAAAAACCAGAAAACCAGTTTCTTTAAGTCCTTGTACCAAGCCTTTGTCATAATGGATGTTCTCCTGGGGTGACACCATAAGGCTTCTTAAATGCACATGGCAAATATCAGCTAAGAGCTTTAATACTATTTTGGAAAAAAAAAATCTGACTATACTCTTGGACCCATGGACAGTAATGATTACTGTTGAAAACTCTGGTATTAGGAGCTAAATTGGGGCTGGCAGATAGCTCAGCTGATTAAGCACCTGCTTAGGCAGGCACAGGGACCAGGTTTGATCGTCAGCATGCTTTGCTGGCCCCACCCCAGGGGCACTGAGATGTTGACTGAGACTGGGTATGGTGGCACACACCTGTAATCCCAGCTTTGGGAGGCTGAAAACAGGCAGATGACTATAAGTTCCACCTATGTATTGAGACCCTGTAGACCCTATACTAAATACATTAAAAAGGGCCAGCCAAATAGTTCAGCAGATTCCCAGTTCTGGAAAAAAAAAAAAAAAAAAAAAACTCAGAGGATTAAAGTGCCTGCAAGCAGGTGCAGGGGCCAGGGCCTGCTGTGCTGGCACCCACCCTCCCAAGACGTGCTGAAACTGATTGAGACT